CCCTCACCCACTCTTTTTCTCTTCTTTTCACCCTAGGGCTTTTAGTATAATTATATGTATATATATATATAGACAAACCTTATGGTTGTACGGCAGTGAAGCATCAGTACCAACACTGATGTTGCTGTCTTTGATGATGATGATGATGATTCTTTCACCATATCTCCCAAACAATGATACAAGGTGGAGCCCAGTACATAGAAGCTCTACTGTTCTGTTGAGCTAACTTTACTGGAGTCATTCCATTCGATCGCATGGTGCAGCTAACTACATCAATCTTTTTTGAAATATTCTGTTGAACAGATTAAGGATCAGTTTTCGGGACCGGCCAGCGGAAGTCATCGGCGCATTGCTCAGCTGTAACACCCTTTCTGTGCCTAGCTGTCGTGCCACTCAAAGGAAGCACGAGGGCTGGGATACTCCCAGGTTGCCCAAGCCTAGACAGGGGAAGTTGAGAAGTGGAGGTCGGGTTCGAACCACGAACCTTCCGGTCAGTAAATCCGCTCTCTAACCATTGAACCATCTTCTCATCGGCGTGTGTACAGCTGTTTTGTCCAGTGGAATTCTGGGACAGCAGAAGTGCTGTGGGCAACCTCTTGCTGATCCAGACCTGATCAAACAATCACTGGTACCTTTTAATCCCCCCGTTTTCATTAAGGTCTTATGGTGGTTTGCACTAATTCCCCGCATTTCCACTTTCACTTCTCAACTATTCACTTCTCAGTTGTTTGGTAGGTTTGACGGCTAAGGTATTGTCGATAAATTACTTTTTTTATTCACTGAATTCAAACTACACTAAATGCGTAGCATGGTTCAAAACTTCAAGATATATGCTGATAACATCGGCCCTCCGCGGATCGCTGTTCTCAAAGCATGGTTTCTCACATCGCGTACCAAATCCTGGCGTGTGCTGAGCTATGCTGTCGGTGGTACGATCCCTGTGTCTTCACAACCAAACTTCGGCCACTCACTACAACTTGTAAATCGTTGAAGGAATTACACTTCATGATAGTGTCTTATTCTCCATATATGTATTTTACCCAATATCTACATACCTACTGGTGAGCTCCATTCTTTTACGTCCATAAGTTTTTTTCCTCAGATTGTTTGGAGTATTTTGTATATGTGGCTTATGCTCACACGTTTTGAAGATTACTCAACTTATCAAACAAACAGTGGCCATCAGTGTCTTATCATATATGTATTTTACCCAATATCTACATACCTACTGGTGAGCTCCATTCTTTTACGTCCATAAGTTTTTTTCCTCAGATTGTTTGGAGTATTTTGTATATGTGGCTTATGCTCACACGTTTTGAAGATTACTCAACTTATCAAACAAACAGTGGCCATCCATACGACGTGAGCCACCAACACTTCTGATAACAAATCTATGATTTTCTCTCTTCTAGGTAAGACCCATGCGATCGGCCGTCATCGAATTTTATAAACTAGCCAGTGCTTCTACCCCAGTCTGCACACAAAACGTGAATTCCACTTCCGACACAGCACTGCTTGAGCGATTCTTCGTCGAATTGGACAATCTGAATAGCTTATCCGGGCGTGCACCGGTTTATGCAACCACCTCCTATCGGGAACGTCTTTCTCTCCTAGTTTGCTGTCTGTTTGACCGACTCGCCTGCATTGTCTTATACGCCGCAGGTGCAACAAGTCAAACACATCCAGTTTTGTGGAATACTCTCTATACTGTAAGTTATGCGCCTAGTTCGAACACTATGTTTTTCGTTCTTGTTGCATTAAACTGTTTGGAAGATGAGTACTCAGCACTCGAACGGTAGTGAAGCGTCGGTGTTGAACACTGAGGTCATGCTGTCGATGATGATGATCATGATGACTCGAATGCCTTCGCGCTTGTTCTTGTTCTGTGACCCGCGAGTTGGAAAAAATTATTAAAGCTCATTATGCAAGCACGTATCACGATTTCCAAACGGTCACTGTAGCTCCTTTATTCTCTCGACCTCACAAAATAATTTGTTTAGGTGGTTCGTAAGACAGCTCTGACGAAGCCTTTGTATGAACAGATAGAGGCGTGGTGGAACCATACAGCTTATAGACGCTTATATAGAAGAGATGGGTGTAATCGGGAGGCTGTTTCCTCTAATCCGCCAAACGTGGCCAAGGAGGATGTAAACATTGGCACACCAAGTTAATTTTCACGGGAGAGTTAACTGAATCATAGCTGAATCTCTCGTTTATCAAAGCAAACCGGTGTGCAAATGAGTATACTTCGAGGATTTGTAAACACACCAAGTTAATTTTTACGGGAGAGTTAACTGAATCATAACTGAATCTCTCGTTTATCAAAGCAAACTGGTGTGCAAATGAGTATACTTCGAGGATTTGCGTTCAAGTGGAACATAAGGTTGATGGAAACTCGGGGACTGCGCCTACCTGCTCAAGAAGGGGAAACCGGACGTGGGCTGTCGAAGAGGTTCCAGTAACCGTGTGTTCAAGGGCCTAAGAGGCTTCCTCTTAGTGAATTATTCAAATATTAATGCTGGAAACTTAATATTTAATAAAGACCAGAGTCTAGATCGCTTCTTCTACCCAGTCCTTTCATTCGGCTTGCTCATTTTGAACCGTAGCCGGTGAGCTTAAACCCTTCATCAGTTCCTGAGGCATTAATATGCCTGCCTGTCGTGAAACTTCATCGGGTTGCTGAGACAGATGATCTTCCACTGACACCATTCAAAGACGGTGACGAGTCTCTGTGTTCCGGCTTGGTCTAGTTACTTGAACTTATTTGGAAACAACAAAAACTTCCAGACTATTGGGGCTAGTCAGTCATCGTACCTTTATTCAAAAAGGTACTTCAAACAACTGTTTCAACCATGGAGGTATAAACCTCTCATCTGTTGTAACACGGCTGCTAGCTTACGCAACTCTACGACGCCTAACCTCGGCACGCAAGACGCAAGTTTGAGAGCATGAGTCAAGCTTTCGACTAGGTAGAGACTGCACTTATCATATCTACATTACGTCCAATGCTTGAGCAGCAGCATGTATACCGCCGGCCAGCAACAAACAGGAATACTCTGGAATGCTTCTTCAATACACCTCATACCCCCCACACACACTCTAACACATCCGACCGTGTTAAGCTTTACAACAAGCTGTTCAAAAGTTTTCCCACAACTAGTGGAGTTCACCAAGGCGCTCCCATTTCATCATTCTTTTCAGTTTTGTCAGCGAGTACACAGTACAAGGGACCGGAAATGTAGACATGGAAATTGCACTAGGAGAAATATTAGTAGACGAGGATTACGGGGACAACATCGTCACATCGCCAGTTCGTACAATCTACTCCAACTAGAATGTATACAGTGGTCCGTTGTTTCGGCATGTGTTTTTCACTTTAAAGCGCAAAGTCTCGCTTTAGGATATCCCGTCTCCTTGTAGCCCTTTGAAACTTCAAAGTGACGAGCCGCCAGAATCGTGCATCTGACTTTGATTTGTTTTCTCATATGGCCTCACAAATTCTCAAGTGTTTTCCAACGATGCCCGATATCAGCAGCTCCGATGTTGGATCTGTGCTCGTCTGGAGACATACAAACATCGCTTAGGTGACATGGTTGCTGATTTTCTCATGTACGAGGATACTTTTAAACACCAACTGTTCTGAGAATTCAACTTTAGTCGACCAGCGCACTGTACTTATGTCAGGGTCCGCTAAACGTTGTTTTGAACACTGGACGCCATTGGTCAAAAATCGACCTAAACCCCGTCATTAAATAAAGAACACGCAATTAATCAAGTGTTGTTTTAAAGTAGCCTGATGCAGAAAGGCTCCTGTAAAACTAGAAGCACTGTTCTACAAATGTGGCAATCGGAAGTGACATGGTTTTTTGGAAATTTTTGCACCGGTTTGGTGATCGTTAAACCCGGTCGCTGTGGCTTCTGCTGACAGAACCAAGGTTAGCCGTAGCATGAGGAAGGACCTGCATTTCGCTACAACGAATAGATAAAGCCTACGGGGAACTAAACACTTTGAATCTGCAGCACGACCGAGCACTGATAGAGCATAAACAACCACACCCCGATTTCAGGTGGTTTGCAAGGGCAGGTGAAAAAACGAATAATTCACCCAATTTTACCATGTACATGTTTGTAACCACTTACCCAAAGTAAAAACACCATCACTAAGGAGAATAATGCACCAATTTTACCATGTACATGTTTGTAACCACTTACCCAAAGTAAAAACACCATCACTAAGGATAACACCTCTACATCGTTTCTCATTTTCAGGAGACAAACGCTCGGTCTGTTGAGGCATGGGCCGAATTTTGGCTGGCAGGCTCCGCTTGATAGTGGAGCAGAGGCGATTTCTACTTACGCGTCCTTGTTATTGTGTGCACATGGTTTCCCTATTTTTGTATTAAAAACGATTATATTATCCATGTCAACAGTGTCTCTTTTTCAAAGTATTGTGAATATACTTCTTCCACGATGTTTCGATATGATGGACTATACGTCTGACTCATAGACTTATCGTGACGCGGATATTTTGACTCAGATAGAGAGACTTGGCCATTAGACTCCCTAAAACTGTTGGCTAAGTCCTGATTTTCTCCTCTTTATGGGTGGCGCACTGGTTTATGAATACTTCCATCTGAAAAGTATACAAACGGATAGTGAGGTACAAGCACCCTACTCTCTTGATGCGAGAATTATTAGTCAAAGGCTGGATTTTTCGGAAGAAGAGAACCCAGTTGGTGGTGAGACTGACTACCTTTACCAGATGTCCACGGAATGCTGTGAAAAGCCCCCCTTCCCCTACCTCACTCAGTACTCGGAAAACCTATGCGTTTGTGTCACAACAATCTGCAATTAAATGTAAATGAGGCCAAGTTCATGAGGTATCCGGAGGAATGTACATGTTAGCACTCGGAAAACCTATGCGTTTGTGTCACAACAATCTGCAATTAAATGTAAATGAGGCCAAGTTCATGAGGTATCCGGAGGAATGTACATGTTTTGAACACAATCCCAACAGTATACACATGTGACTTCATCAGTTATGAAGTGTGCTTCTGCATCATGTGCATGGTTTCCGTGCGTGACCGTTGCTCTAGCTTTCAACCCCTGATTTTGTTCCTTGCGTCCAAACATTGTTGGTACCGGAGCTGAAAAAGGAAACAGAGTAGTCGGATTCTTTATGGTCAAGCTGTCCCACCAGACGGATCAAAAACGCTACAGATGTAAAAGCACTAATCTAGAATGTTGCTTATTCCAACTGCCTTTTGTCTGTTGATGGCCCGGCAAGACTGGTAAAATTTTTCGGTACTTTGTGAACAACCCTGACTCAAGGTTGATCACCGGATACGTGTTAACTAGACGCACCGCCACGGCGACCGAACTTAATTAACTCTCCTATCCCTGTTCTCGGTCTGAAAGACATACTCTGGTATCTTTTCTCATACTTGCTCCATCGTTTGCCCAGTATATTTTGTTGTACAACAATAGAAAAGCGACGTGGACGGACAATATGTCCTCAACACTGAAGGCCATTATCGAAGTAGTAAACAAAGGCCGAAAGTATGTCGTTGTGGACTTTTGATATAGCCTTCGATCTGGGCTAATGGTAGTGATTTTAACTACTGGCTCTTCAATGTGACCTAGCTTCAATATCTCGCAGAGTCCATCCGGGTAGTTGTTTTCTTAGAATGTCTTATCTATTCACTTTCACTCTCATTCTGGTTCACTCCGAACAAACCTTTCCTGCCATATCGCTTAGCCAAGATGCTGGATTGAGTTCCTATTTTAGGGATTCGAAGATATTGGGATTCGTTAGCTGTCGCGTTCATGTGCTTTTTTCCATAGTGTGTTATCTGAATAAGTCCACGATTCTTTCGCCTCCTCTTCTATTGTACTCAGATCTGCATTGTTTTAAATCTCGACCTATTGCAAGTATGTCGTCAGTGTATCACCTTTGAAGTTCTACTCGTTTGTATGGGGCGGTTTCCAGCACTTGTGTTTTTTACCCAAAGATGGCTCACCGTGAAATTAAGATGCTTCAAGTGGAGAAGTGTTCTAGATGTATTATGAAACGTGAGACTTTGCACTTCTACCCTCCATTCTGATCACTTTTATTGAGGTATGTTTGACGAACACCGGAACGCCTTATCACTTCTATCTTCTGCTCAGTTCTTATTTTCTGTAGCCGGAAACCCAAATCAGTGAAACAGATTGATGCAAATCGTCTAGATACCTGTTGTATAAAAAAGAAGTGTGTCACAAGCTTAGCGGTTTAAGTATCTTATGGGAACTTACCTCGCACGCTGCCTTGATAGCTTCACATAATGCTGTAGCGTCCGGTTCCCGCTTTAGAACGTGGCAGGCGAATGTACCGGTGACGGATTGCTGAATCAGGCCGCATAGCCTGGGAAACGGCAGATGAAAGTTCACTTTAAAATGGAAGTATAGTAAAACCGTCAGTGGTAGCAAGGTTAATGGGCTACTGTTAGCTTAAGCCTGAAAGAACAGGCCAAGGTGGACCTCCACAGGAGAAGGGAGTTTGTCCTTTCTTCAGAGGTCTCAGTTAACCGAATTTTCTGTCGTGTACTTTCCAGATGGATGGTCTCTTCCATGATGGGTTGCTGTAGTGGCGATGCGAATGAATAAGCTCGAGTCTAACGACTAAATTTCAATCATCTGAACTTATTCTAGCTTTCTTGTGCACAGGTATAGTACTAACCTTGCGTCCGTCTTGAAAATTGAACAGAAAGATAGAAATCGAATTCGACACTCGATGGTTGGTCCTCGTTTCAGTGTCTAGAAAAATGGAACAGACATGCGAATTTTACTTCCTTGCATAGACCTGCGTAAGTATTAGTATTTTTTATACTTTTTTGTAGTCAGTGAATCTGAGTTGAAGTTATTTGAAGTTAGTCTTACTTCCATGAGAGCTGCCGCTTTTCTGTGGTGGCCATTAATTATCCGACCATCTAAAAACCTCATTACAAAGCATACATGGTAAATTAGCCCCAATTTTTCTGCAATGGTATCTGTGGCGATGCCAACCTTCTGTAAGCCTGCAGTGTACTGTTGTTTTACTAATATTAATCACTCCGTGCGTTTTCACGTGGGCTTCATTCTGAACCGCCACTAATGACCTTGGTTTTCCGTGCGGCCTCGAAGACAAGCGAAATCACGAGAGGTTTCATGTGTGTCTAATTTACCAATTATTTGCTAATGCTTGGCCTTCATTCGTAGAAAACCAACTGTGCTAAACTATTTTGCCATGTCCGAAGTGGATGCGTGCCTCGGGATTCCGTAGCTGGGGCGGATCAGCACGATGTGGTAGAATTATTTGATTCTCGCCCTGCTCTTTCCTCTAGGTCATCAAACGAACGAGTAGTTTTCGGTTCACCTAACTACACCCTAATTTGAAGCAAAGTCAATAAGATCCATACCCAAGATATTCTAGTACAGTGATGAAAGTTTCGTTACTGCACCATGTTTTGATGAGTGCTGCTGTGCACGTGTTTTAAAATCAATTATCTGTGGAGTCCACCTGAGAAAACAACGTTGATATAGCGGGATGATGTGTCACTAGTACTTTGGATAACCGTTTAACTTGACAGCCACTAAGTAAATCTGGGTTACGACGAGAAGAGCAAGTAGTCCATTTTGAGAGCCAGAAATTGCTTTCTTTCTAACGCTGAAGGGACCGCTTTAATTACGGATATCGCAGTTTTAAAATGGCCTCTGATGAGAGTAAAGCCCCTCGTTTGTGGCAATCTCTGGTTGGATTTGTCGGATATGATCGATGTAGGTGGGATAATTGCATCAGATGTTGTAACTCAAAGCATGTTCGTTATCTGAATGTGTTATACTGTCAGCAGTTCGTGTTTGGTTTTATGGGAGCAACATTGTGTTTAGCGACGTGTGGATAGCTTTCCCTCTTAGTCCATTCTTGTAGCCCGAGAAGTAACACTGCTGGTAGAAGTTCTTACCTGTTGGTGCACCAGCATAACCAACAGAACCAGTTTCCGTGTCTTCGGACCGACCACATCTGTGACAGACAACGCATTTCCCGGGTAATCATACTTGTTATTTTGGTGACTAATCACTTGCCCATTCGTATTATGGATGCTGTACTAGTCTATACGCTGTATGCCTATAGCGCATTCCGACCCTATAACGGCTTTAGGATATTGTTTTTCACTAAAAGCTCCATGGATCGCCCGTCTACTCCTGCCGCCTTCATTGGCTTCTTGGTACTTCCGATCCGAAAATCGGCAGTGTAGAATTCAGTCCTAATGCGTCCAGTGTTGCAGACGTCTTATAACTTCATTCGCTCTCTTGTGACAAGACTTCCCTACAGTAACTGGGCATCTACTTGTTCCCTGTGATCTAGCAAGTTTTGTCGAAACAAAAACTCACTTCCTCTTGCAATCGGCTTCCTAACCTCTGGTCTATGACAAATCAGCTTGAAAATAGTAAGACTGAGCATTAGTCAGAAATAGACAGTTAACCGTGAGCAGCGTCCGATTTGTCGATTGTGCATAGTCAATCTCTCTTGTGCAAGACTTCCCTACAGTAACTGGGCATCTACTTGTTCCCTGTGATCTAGCAAGTTTTGTCGAAACAAAAACTCACTTCCTCTTGCAATCGGCTTCCTAACCTCTGGTCTATGACAAATCAGCTTGAAAATAGTAAGACTGAGCATTAGTCAGAAATAGACAGTTAACCGTGAGCAGCGTCCGATTTGTCGATTGTGCATAGTCAATTGTCCACAGAATTCCACCACTAGTTGAATAGTCATACTGCAATCGTGTCAGCCGTCGACAGTAGGTGTACTTCAACAAGTTTCGTGCGGTCTTTTGGACTGTCGAATGTATGAAACTGAATGCCCACTTCCGAGTAAGTACACTTCAACAGTACCACAGTTTGTTCTCTTCGTGAGTCGAAAAGCTCTTTCTGAGGGTGTCCGCGTATTGTAATAAATAATTGATGCGAAGTTTTCCAAGCACAACTATCTTGATAGCCGCAGATAAAGACACAAGTATGGAGTGGAAAAAACTCAGGTACGCCACTTTTCAAATGGTACTTCCAAACCAGAGAACTTCTACGCAACAGCGTCGTAAGTGTTACCAATAATCGTTGACGAACCGCGACGAATAGGCTCACTTGTAGTATCTGCTTTGAATGATAGGCTTCTTAAAGGTCGGTGACCTGACTTGATGACCGTGACGCATCAAAAAATAGGACGATCGTTGTAAATCCAGTAATTAGGTTTGGGAATATTACGCTCAGGCACCGCGGAAAACTGAATTTCAGTTGCGACATGCAGGCGCACACCTGTCGCTGCCAGAATAAACCATGTTCTAAGTGCCCTTCGTCATCAACGGTTGACTGATTATGTTACTCGTGAGTAGTATGGTTCTAGCTACACTTTTTGCACAACCTATCATCCACCGCGATCAAAATGGCAGTTCTGCTGGTTCAGCCAATTTATCCTAGCAAATCCAATGGGCTCAGGATAACTTCAGTGGTAAATTCTCGTAAACATATTTATTTCTTGTCTGTCTTTACCAAAAGGATATACCCTTGAGGACTACGTCGCCTCAGATTGTTATCCCATCGAACCGGTTGATGGTTCGAAATTCGGCTCACACATGGCGGGTGGCATCCGAACCTTGAAGTTTATCACTGACGCACCCACTCTTGAGAAACCGGCCAATTGGAATTCCGTAAAATGATCATCTAGCATAGATTCATCAAGAGAAGCAGTTGGCTTTGAGTTTCGTACTGAATGCCCTGTTAAAATTTACGCACCAGCAAATAAGTCAGAAAAAAAGATTCCCTTTTCAACCAATTAATGAAACCCAAGAAACACTCAAACGAACAATACAGATGCATCCTGTTTGCCGTTCGCCCTCATCACGCAGCACAGCAACAATATGTACTGGGCGAATGGCACCGGTGTCCCCCGAACGATGATTTTTTCACAAAATATCCACCCCAAGAAGATCCTCCATATAGAGATCAAGCAAACCAACAATTGGCGATCATTCCACTGGAGTGAGCTGTGTGAGGCACATTGTCAGAACTACTCGCACTTAATAGTCGCTGCTCGAACTTCCCAACGCTTTCGCTGTTGAAAGACCAGTTAGTCATTATGAAAAGCTAGTTAAAGCTGCACCCTCTTTTTTCCTTTTAGACCAACTGCTTTTATGTTTTTGTTTGTGACAGAAGGCTGAACAGAATACTGGTCAGCATTAGTGTACCGTTGGTTGATTACTTGAACAAGCTGGTGGGTCTTTGGGCGCGAAAAGGGCCGTGCGCCGACCGGGATTCGAACCCGGGTCGCAACCGTGGGAGGGTTGCATGATACCCCTACACCATCGGCGCACAGCGAGCTGGCTGCGTACAGTATATGCGTAGTAAAAGAAACCGCAGCAGCGAAACGATCGACCGTAAAAACTGTGAAATATATACCGACTGAGAGACCCTGAAAAATGGGAGATGGATTGACCTATCCGCAAAAATGCGATCAACGGGACATCGGGTCATTAATGGGATACGTAAATTATAGTTTCCAATGTTTGGAGGTGGAAGGGACTTCCGGAGAAATGGAGGGAGAGGTTGATCGGGTATCTGAAATAGCGGTGAAGTAAGTTGGGGAAGGCATAATCTGCCTTTTGATCAGCAAATCACTGATAGTGGTGCACACTCCGGTGTGACCTGAACTCCGGGAATTCTTGATGTATACCTATTGGATTGCTAGCACTGGGCTAGCGGAGCTGTAATAATCTAGAACAGTAATCTAATGCTTCCGAAATCGGGACATAGCACATCATCTAAAAGATGTTAGGTGTAAGGTTGCCGGTCTGTTCTTTTATTAGTTGTAATTTGTACTGGTCAGCATCGTTCAAATTCTTGTGTGGACTGTCACTTAGATGCGTCCGCGCGTTGGGCAGTTGACCCATTTTTCTCATTTCTCAGTCAAGTCTATTTTTGTCCAGCTCGTCCATATTATCACGGACTATTTTTAAGTCCGGGGCAGGTCACACACGAGTAGCCTGTTCCTCTCCTCCTCATTAACAATACCAGCGTGGACATTAATGTGCTGTCTTTGATGATGATGGTGATGCCCCCGCAAACGGCCTCATAAGAAACACAATGAACTGCTGGACTCCGGCTGTGTAAACTAGAATAACAGTAGCGTTAGTAGCTTTTGCGTCAGCATCAAATTCACTTTAAAAATATCATGCAGTGACACTCGAAAGCAGCGCTCTCAGATCAGGCTGGCACTCCTTTTTGCGAGCGCAATCGCCTGGAGCACCGTGAAGCCATTCACCAACATTCTTCTCAGCGTAAGTGTAGGCAAATATTGGGCGGCTTGTTACAACGCAGCTCAGCTTCGTTATATTTACTAGCTAATTTCACTACGATGATCCATGGAAAGTCCAGTGCATGGCCAGGATTTATTTTTCTGATCTCCCAGGAATGAAACTGTCCGCAAGTGAACGGAACCGTTTTTTGTTTAAACATTCATAAAGAAATGACTTAGAAAACAATGTCTCTAGTCATTCCCACATCAGTCAGTAAGTCTGGATTCTTCACGAGGATTTTGACTGACATTGTTCTTGATGGGAGAGGTGCTTAACTGGTCGACACCGCTCACACCCTTATTGCAGTTCACAGTAAGTCCGAAGAACACGTAAGTACGGACACGGGTGTATTGAGTACACGCAGCCAAACTGGTCCGCTTTCGTGGCAGGTAAGCAAAACAACTGAGTCACATATCCAGTCAACCCACAGCGCTCATGCGAGCCAACGAATCGGACACGCATCCAATCAGCCACTCAAGTCACATGTCAGATCGATGGTGGAACGACGAACGGACACGCACACGCACAAACTCTGACACACCGAAGCAGCTACTACAATCCTCATACGAATTCCGCCGGATAGTTGTTTTTCGATCTTTCTTGTTTTCCGCTCAGTAATTGATACCTTTGTTGCAAAGCTTATTGTCGTTCATTCGTGGTTGACTGAAATTTGCCCTCCAGTCCCTTGTTCACCCTACCACTAATCTTGTGTGTGGTATAAACCGGCAACAAGTCAACTGGTACTCCACTCTCTCGCATAAGCGGCCAATCAAAAGATGTCAGCGCTCAGTGATTTAAATCAATATATATGTGATGCAGTTATAGAGTAGAAATCCTGACATATCACCATATAATCTAAACTAAATATTCGACGGTAATTCAAATGGGTAGTCGAAGAAAAGCCTTGCACTCAAACAGGATTCCGTGCAACCTTCGAAACGTGATTGGACTTACCAACAGTCCCACATCAGTGGCGCCCTAGCTCTCCAACAACGAAGCTTTTCGGATTTTAGTGGCCTTGGCTTGAACGTTAGAAGTCTGGCGTGTCCAGTAGCAATGGTATGCCGAAAATATTAAGCAGCTAAATCTTACACCAGGAAACAGGTTAGGCTATTTTTCGCATTCTTTGTGAACACCTTGGGTATATGTTACGACTGTCACCTTCGTTCGCAAGTTGCACAGTCAGCGGTCTTTCATCACAAACGATTGGGCCGCCTTTGCACTGAAACCCCGGGGGCAGTATTTCGGTTTGTTATGCACTCCTTTGAACCGAGGTAAAAGCAAATAACCAATTCACCGTAGTTCAATCTAAACTTCTAGAACGTTCGTTGCTATGGCAACAAGAGCAGGCAAAAAAACGGTTCCCATAAACAACCAGTAAAACTTACGATTTGCAAACAAGATGGCTGAATATGCACCTCGGCTTGACTCCATTGTGACATAGGCAATCGACTGAGACCTATCTCAACCGCTTTATTCACTTGGTCCACTCCTAGGGGAGTAAATACAATTAGATGAGCTGAAATTTTTGGGAATGCTTTTTCTTACATACACAAGGCATATAATTCATTAGAGATAGGATCATACTAAACTACCACCTGTGTTAAAGACAGAACTATTATAACAGAACAACACTCTGCTTGGAGGTGTTATGTTTTGTGTCCAGCCTCTCGCCACTATGAGGCATATATTGTCCGCCTTATCAGCGACGCGATTCAGAATGCGGTCCTGAAACACTCTGTTGGAGGTGTTATGTTTTGTGTCCAGCCTCTCGCCACTATGAGGCATATATTGTCCGCCTTATCAGCGACGCGATTCAGAATGCGGTCCTGTGCGGCTGTGGACTATTGATTATCTCAAAAGTTTACTGGCTAATTATTGTTCTCATCCCATTGGATGACTCTGGATCATTCGTTTGTGTCAGCCTGCCTCCCCTCCTCCTAAACACGGAAATAAAAGACTCGATCTGGTAGATTCTTAAACTCGCCTGACAGTCTTATTTACGGTACTATCACACCGAGCTGTGAGTTCCCTTTATCTAAGTATCACGCAGAACCATCCACAGAAATCTCTAACTAATATTACCTGATAGTACTGATCCTCCGGTTGCCGTGAAAAACGCTGAATCAGCTGAGATGGAACTCATATAGTCGCAGTTTCTGTTCTTCAACGGCATAAGGGGTCAAAACTGAGGCAACAGTCATACACCAGCATTCTGTTCTCATCATTTGAATTTTTTCATGGCGATCCCAGTATTAAGAATCATGTTATATCATCCATACAAAAACATGACTGACTGGAAGCATCATCAGTGTTCCACATACCCGTAGCTTTATCGACCTCAATGGAACCGCCGTAGAAGCATTGGAAAACCTTACAGTTCGACTGGTCAGTGTGGATCATTTCTAGGGACCCTGAAAAAAGACGGAATTACCAGAAAGTTCACTGTAATACCTTGCTTACAGAAATGATATCTTCACGTACGATCTCAACTCCGATTGGGAACAATGAATAAACCGTCCATATATATAAATGACGGATAACAATGCTGCTGCCTTATCAATCACCAGGCGCTTCCTAAATTTTAGGAAGTACCCATTACACAGTACTATCCCTTCAGAAGAACTGTTGAAGAGACCTCAAACTGCTTTTTCTTCTGAGCTATTGGTTTTCGGCCCGAAAACCAAGCTAGGATTAAATATCTGGACACTCCATTGCGGCATTAAGCTTGAAGTCTGATTATCGTATGTATTTGCTGGAACTCCTCCCACCAAAAGTTAGTACCTGTAAATTCTAAACAATCCAGTCTTCCGCCATACGATAAGCTTCTTCTCGCATAAACTCTCTGATACACCACTGAGAGGCATTCTGCTTTATTTTCAGGTGGAGGCCTCTCCTTGTATCAGCCATCTTTCTGTGAGCCCCACAGCATTTGTTCCACTGCTTTTTGGTGCTTTTCGTCTGTAATTGCTTCAATGACTTCAATAACTTTGGTTACTTGCTTGCTTGCTTGTTATCAATCCTTGACTGTTTTGCTCCGGCTCGGCCTTCCATCTGGCCAGTCGTCCGAAGCATGTGTGTGCGCTGTTGGTTACTGACCCTACATCCCCATACGAGTTAGTGTCCCGTCCGCTGGACCTACTGTGACTTGTCTTGACGTGGTATCCATGTTATCGCACGCCGAATCAGAATCACGATACCGGCCTGGGAAGAGAATAGTTCAGTTCACACGACCGAACCGTGTGAACCGCTCACCGCCAACTGGCGTTAGCACTTTGACGCTGTGCTGTACCGATCAGTGACAGAATAACTCACCTGTAGACGTCATGAGCATAGACAACTGGTTGTTTTGCTTAACCTCGCTTAATTCTGTGTGTAAACGTTCGAACCGTTTTTCCCTTTGATATTCAGGATCGTCACGAATGACTGAAAGCTCCTTATCAGGTGCCTCAACATTGGCCTTTTCGATTAGGAATCAACATTTCCGTATAAAGGTCATCATTAATCTCAACATACTGTTATAGCATAGGCTGAACAAATGATGTGAGTGGCATTATACTGTGGGATCTCAATGAGCAGAACTTGGTCCATTTGACTTTAACCCACAACAGTTCACCCAACAGATCAAGGCTCTCAGCATTCCATTTCTGTTTTTGTTTATACTGGGTTCAATCCAGCATCTTCTGTTGGACTGTTAGAGGACGTTGCTAGAGTGCGTAATCCCGGTTCGCACTTTTAATTCTCTCTCTGTATGTCCATCCTCACAGCCAGAGTTGTAGGAACTAGTGAAATCCTCTATGGACTGTTAGAGGACGTTGCTAGATTGCGTAATCCCGGTTCGCATTTTTAATTGTTTCTCTGTATGTCCATCCTCACAGTCAGAGTTGTAGGAACTAGTGAAATCCTCTATGGTACTTCTGAACGGGTTTAGATGTTCGAAATCTTTTGAGCGAATGTCCTCGCGAAACGTCATCCGGATGTTGGACAGTTTGGTGAGGAATATTCAAGATCCTTGTGTTTTGGAGGTCGTGTGTGATTAACGATTTGTTATTCCCAGATGTAATTGGAAAACTGAATCTTGGTGAATAAATTACCAGGCAGATTTGTCACTTCTCTATTGCGTTGGTTAACCAAAACACTTCAGGCTACTTCAAGCTTGCAACCAGACCTCTGATTCGAACATTCCTGTTGAGGACCCTAGTCATCTGGGTTTCAGCATGCTGACAAAACCCTAGCAAAAAGACTCAACAGCTACGCCAATAAACGTGGTCCCATACTCTGACCGTCGGTTGGTGACGCCAGTCTGGACACCTCATTTTCTGCATACAGTAGGATCAATAAACTTGACTATGCTTCTGCTGACAAAGTTGAATTACAGGAACATTACCAGGGATATCTACTAGCTCCTTGTTCGAGGCATGAATACCTTTCTCTTTTCAGACGGGATAATGCAGATACGACCGGCGTGCACTGATAGGGCAACTGTAACACGTTCGCCTCCAAACTCCGGGTGGCCCAGGATGGACACGTGCTTAAGCTCCAAACATGCTGATGCTGTCACATAGATGTTTGAAGCTAAGCTTGAAACTATGTGACGTGCTTTCTATTCAAACAAGCCGAAAACGGGTTTATGAACCAAGCACCACACGCATTGAAATAAAACCACATGAAAGAAGCACTTGTTTAAGCAAGTGTTAGAGAACCCAAATATGGATTACTCGAAGATTTCTGTTTCTGCGGATCAGCAGAATAGCATCATCAATCAAGAGGCGAGTAGCCTTATTCTGATCTCAGAGGGAAATTTGCAGTCAGATGCTTGTCGTTTCGCTCCAAAAAATGTATCTAATCATGCCATCTTGCGGTGTTGTCAGTGGGCTTCTTACAGTGAAAATGCTGCTCACTATACAGCGGACACATTAAACGAAACTGTCCGACATTCCTGTCACGGAAGTGACCTATATATGTATCAAGAAAGAAGTGACAGGCACTAAAAGAACGGTACGACCAGTCAAAAAACTGGTCAATGTACTGTTATGCGTGTCCTGCCACTTGAGTGTGTCCGTGTTGTGTCAATGTGCGTCGCATGCACGTGTGTTATGCCGTGTACATAACGACCTTGGGATTGAACTGTCCTGCCGCGTGTATCTGCCTTTGTTTGGTGAACTAGGCCGGACCAAACAGCAGAACACTATCAGACCTGTGAACGCAAACCTGAATAGCCGTCGCTTACGCGCACAGCACCTCCGTGCAGTATATGCACGTTGTCGAGGATGACCCGGTGATACATAGCTAGTGCATGGATTAAGATAGCTTAATCGCGCTCCACTTCGTCTAATTCCGTCATTTTTCCTGGAGCGGCGTTGATCCGGTGATTAAGATAGATCGCGCTCCACTTCGTCTAATTCCGTCATTTTTCCTGGAGCGGCGTTGATCCGGCCTCTCAATTGTCTGCTGGTTTGCCTGCCA